ATGAACAAAACAGCAGAATTTCTGAAGCGAGCTTACAGTGACCGTCCCTCACACCAAGGGCAAGTATCTAAGCAAGAGTGCCATCAAGGAGCTCTCATAAAATTGAAGCCAATGGCAATCGGGGTCAGCGGGGTGAAAATCTTTAGAATAGTGGGAGTCACACCTCATACAAAGGAAAGTGTGGTTGTTGGACACCAATCATCTCAACCCTAGGATATCAATGTTGGACTAACAAACATCTTCAACTGCATCTTAATGATCTTGCTTCCAATGCTAGGGTAAAAGATGGCATGCTCTTTGATGGTTGGAGTGTTCCGTTCCATTCAAATAATGAAAATCTGCATACTCATGCAGAAAGACCTGAAAAGTAGTCAGCCTTGGACTAATAAATGGGATTCAACATTTGTGCATTAAGGGTGCCAAGCAATGACTTCTCTAAAGAGAAAGTGACTACTTCCCTTCTTATTCAATGGCATTACCATGATTGGATTCCCACCACAACATTCTGGAAATGGCTGATAATGAAAAACATAATTGGACAAGACACAAATTCTGTGGCTACAAAAGTGGTACAGAGGTCAGGAATTTTGCAGTGAATACCTTGTCTGTCATCTCCCAAGAGACTTTTTATCAGTTATAAAGCACACACGAACAAAATATTGCATCAGTGTTGCACCTTTAAAAGAAAATTGAGGTACTTCACATCAATTTTACAAGAAAACTTTGACATGAAGCTACACTCCACAATATTAATGCAGATGGCTGAAAACTTGGTCAAAGAGGTAGGTACTAATGCACACCTTAAAGAATGGAAGAGATCTTTTTTGTTCATTTGTGGCTATTGCTGGTTGGGCCAGCATTTATTGCTGTCCCTCGTTTCCCTTGAGGCGAGCTGCCTTCTTGAGCCACTGCAGTCCATGTGCTGCAGGTGACCCATAATGCCCTAATGGAACTCCATGATTTTGACCCAGCCACAGTGAAGGAACAGCAACATATTCCCAAGTCAGGATGGTGAGTGGAAGGGAACTTGCAGGTGTTCCCATGTTTCTGCTGCCCTTGTCCTTCCAGGTAGAAGTGGTCACGGGTTTGGAAGGTGCCGTTTAAGGATCTTTGGTGAATTTCTGCAGTGCATCTTTTAAATAGTAGCAGCAGTGCGTAGTGTTAAGGGATGCTTGTGGTTGTGGTGCCAATACAGCAGGCTTCTTTGACCTGCATGGTGTCAAGCTTCTTGAGTGTTGTTACAGCTGCACTCATTCAAGAGGGGTAAGGAAGGAATGTCAAAGCTTATGGCTGAAGCAGCTGAACAGTCCACCAACCTCTACTTGGAACATCTAGGGATGCGTGATAAATGCCAGTCTTGACAGTGAACTCCACATCATGAAAAAGTCAGCCATGATCTCAATGAATGGCAGAGCAGACTCGATGTGGTGAATAGCCTACACTGATCCTACATCTTATGGTGTTAATGAAAAATACATCAGAATTAATCAAACTAAATTGTTAAAATTTTTCAGAAATTAAGAATGCGATTTGTATTAATGGTGGTAACAGAAAATGACCTGATAAATTTTATAAAGTTTATAAAATCATGAGGGGTACAGATAAGGTGAATAGCCAAGGATTTTTCTCCCCAAAACTGAAGGGCATAGGCTTAAGGTGAGCAGGGAAAGATTTAAAAGGGACGAAAGGGTCCGTTTCTATGCTGTATGATTAAGACTGTCCTCGACATCAAGGCACCACTTAACTGCGTATGGCATCCAGGGGCACTAGCAAAATTGAAGTCAGTGGGAATCATCTTAAAAGCTGGTTGGAATCAAGCTTAACACAAGGAAAGATAATTGCGATCCTTGAAGACCAATCAATGCAGTCCAAGGACACCACTGCAAGAGCTCCTCGGTGTAGTGTCCTAGACCCAATCATCTTCAGTTGCTTCATCATGCAATCATAAGTTCACATGTGGGGATATTTGCTGATGATTGCAGAGTGTTTGATACTCTTCCCCACGCTTCAGATACAGCACCAAGAACCAGACAACATTCAGGCCTGAACTGATAGACAAATCAATAAATAGTCAACCACAGTGCTGTGGTTCTGGAGTCACATGTAGTCCAGAACAGGTAAAGATGGCAGTTTCCTTCCCTAAAGGGCATTAGTGAACCAGACTGGTTTTTCTGACAATGGATTCATGGTCATCATTAGACTTTTAATTCCAGACTTGTTTTTATTATTGAATTCAAATTTCACTCTCTGCCTTGGTGGGATTTGAACCTGCATCCCCACAGCATTCCCTGGGTCTCTGGATTAACAGTCCAGCAATAAATACCACTTGTGCAGGATAAGTGCAGTTCCAACAATAGTCAAGCTTGACACCATGCAGGCCAAAGCAGCCTGCTTGATTGGCACATTCACAACATCCACTCAATTCACCACCAATGCTCAGTAGCAGCAGTGTGTACCATCTCCAAGAAACTGCTGAAATTCAAAGATCCTTCAACAAACCTACAACCACTTCCATCTAGAAGGCCAAGGGCAGCAGGTAAATTGGAACACCACCACCTGCAGGTTCCCCTCCAAGCCACTCACCACTCTGACTTGGAGATATATTGCCCTTCCTTCAATATTACTTGGTCAAAATCCTGGAATTCTCTCCTTAATGGCATCATGAGCCTACCTGCAATACAGACTACAATGGTTCAAGAAGACGGCTCACCACTGGCAACTAGGGATGAGCAATAAATGCTGGCCTGCTAGCATGCCCATGTCCCACGAGTGAATTTAAAAAAAAATTCAAGAATGTGATGGAATATTCTCTAATTCCTTGTTGACTGTAGCTCGAACATTTAAATTTGACACCATCCAGAACAAAGCAGCTTGCTTGATTGGCACCCAATTCACTGCAGACACTGGCTGAGAAGGTTGTCTCTCTCAAGAAGTGAAGTACCTGGTTCAACTGGAAAGCAGAGAACCAAGAACTAAAAGATAACTAAAATGTTTGCCACTGTTGGCAGTCCAAGAAACCACCTGACCAACCATGATCTCAGGCTAAAATGTCTATATAAAGCACTCGTGAAGGACTCTGAACTGTATATTCTTTTATTCTCTTTTGTTCTGGATACTATCCCCTTTTAACTTTGCACATTCATTTCTAAGAGTGACGCATGAGGGTCATATGATTATTATTTTCCTCAAGCTTACTTAGCAGGTAATAAATTTGTTCACTTTCATTCAAGAAAACCTTGTGATGAGATCCTCATTGCTTACAATAAAAACAATTAACCACATTCAACTGGAGAAAGTTATCAACTTAAGTTCTTTTCAGCATAAGCTGTCTTGCAACCAACTGAGAAGTTTGATAAAGAAGGGAACAAGCTCACCCAACTCATTTCAATGTTGCATATGCCTTAATCCAAAAATCAAAAAGACAAGAAACCTTGCAAAATGGCTAGTAAAACAATCTACCTAACCAGTATTATCTTACCTGCTCTCTGCACTCCCTGGGTCTACAGCATCAATTTCAAACAACTTGTTTTCGTCCCATTTTTTCTGGATATCCTTTTCAATCCTCTTCAGATAATCAACCTTAGCTGTTCCTTTGCGTTCCTATTGAGGTGAAAATTTTAAAAGACATTAAACGTTATTAGCTTTCCAAATCTGTAACTTGCAAAAGATTTCTCATTCCTTAAGTCCATAACTTAACAGGTCTACGTAAGTGAACAACTGAGTTAGACAGAAACAGGCTGCCTTCAGTGAGCAGACAATTACAGAATCAGAAAGCTTTGGGTTCAAGTGCCACTCTAGAAATTTCAGCACATAATGGTATGAGAGTTCCATCAGAAACTCAACACCTTCGACAGTGCAGCACTGCCTGAGTAGGGAGGGTCTGCCTTGATTTCTGTGCCCTTATCTCTGGACCAGAAGCCACATGATAAAGTTTTGACAGAGTGCGACTGCCACTGAGCTCAACAAACCATGATTTGAGATCCCATTTCCCTGCAGCACGCAACCCTCCTCCTTCCCCCTCTCCCCCCCCCAACCCAAACCCGGTCAGAACCCTCCCAGCAGATATCCTCATTACATCCCAACACCCACTGTTGCAACTCTCGCAGCAGATATTTCCTTAACCCTCACCAACCCGGTCACAACCCTCCCAGCAGGAATCCACATTCCTGGAACAGTTGGTGACACGTGAGTCGGAGACTTCAAAAACTGCAGATGCTGGAGTCAGAGTCAATACAGTGTGGAGCTGGATGAACACAGCAGGTCAGGCAGCATCGGAGGAGCAGGAGAGGCGACGTTTCGGATTTACACCCTTCATCATCAGAACTGATGAAGGGTCGACTTTCCTGCTTCTCTGATGCTGCCTGAGCTGCTGCGTTCCTTCATCTCCACACTGTACTGACTGGACATGACTGTCTCACAGAGGTGAGGACCGCACTTTCTCCCTGACACCCTCAAGTCCATGTGTGAACCGGCTTATACCAGCGTACAGGAACATTGACCACTACCACAACAAAAAACATCAGTTAAGGCTCCGAGTGGTTAAAACTCACCGTCATGTTCAAACATATGACAGGCACCCGGCTTCTCCCAGCCTGCTCACCCTCAAGTCGGACACGACTGCGCGGATCTGCCGCGCAGAATGCTGGGAGGTGTAGTCTTTCTCCCGCAGTGCAAACACGTCTTCGGGCGGTCCGACTGTGGGCGCCGTGCCTACAAATCCCAGACTACTCAGCGAAATGTCCAGCCCCTCTACCCTTCCCTGTGTCTCATCTTCCAGTCATTAAGTTCCGAATCCTTTCCCCCCAAAATCATCCCCGACCACAAACCAACGACAAGCTCGCCGGTAGAGTCCTCTGTCCACAAAGACACTAATTTAAATGGTTGCTGGATATTTCCCTCTTGTTAATCACAGCTTTCGGGTGGAAGGCGTTTGTTCTGAGAGGGAGTGTGTGTGTGTGTGTGTGTCAGGATTTTGTGACAGTGTCGTAAAACTATCCATTTCTGTCAGGGGAGGTGAGGCTGGGATGAACCTGAGAGAATCTTAAATGTGAATTGAAAGAGTAAAAGAAGGCTTTGTGGCCTGATATGTACATCTTAAAATAATTCAAGGATGGCATTTTGACCAGACGTTGAAGTTAATTAGATATATTTTTTTCTAAAATACTTATCTATTAATATTGTAGAAGGTAAGATATTAAGAAAGACCTGTTTGAGGGACACAGGTGGGCAGAAATCTTATCCCCTTAAAGGGATCAAGAGGCAGAGGTATACTATTAAGGGAAGAAACAGGAGGTTTAGAAGGGATTTAAAGACAAAATAATTTTCATTCAGAGCGTAGGGTGAGTACCTGGAACTCACTTCCTAAAAGGGTCGTAGAGGCGAGACCCTTCAAGACATTCCGAAATATTTAAGTGATCACTTGAAACACTATATGAGGGTATGGGCTAATTGATGGAAAATGGAATTAGAGTAGATTGATGCTTAGTGACTGTTGAGGGTATGATGGGCCAAAGAGGCTCATTCTGTTCTGTAAAAACTCTATGACTGTAAGTACTGCTTGGGATTTTGGGCCAGAATTTTTTTATGGACTTGTCTGTTGGGGGCAGCACAGTGGTTCAGTGGTTAGCACCACTGCTTCACAGCCCCGGGGACCCAGTTTGATTCCAGCCTTGGGTGACTGTGTGTGGAGTTCTTCTGTGTCTGTATCAGTTTCCTTTGGGTGCTCCAGTTTCCTCCCGCAGTCGAAAGGTGTGCAAGCTGGGTGGACTGGCTGTGGGTAATGAAGAGTTATGGAGATAGGATAGGGGTTTCGGTCTGGATTGGATGCTCTGGTGCAGACTTGAAGGCTGAGTGGCCTCTATTCTATGCTTGTTTCCATGATGTATATGGGTCAGAGAATAATTTTCATGCTCTTCTTCTACCTAAGACCTGCACCCCTAATTGGATCTTTTGACTTTGTCTTTTCTCTCGCCATACTACATATTTTGTACTGAGTGGGATGGCGAGTATAAATGTTGTGATAGACAAGGGGCAGGAATTTTAGGTCCAAAGTTTGGTGTTAAAAATGAGCACCGGGAGCTGGTGTCCCGATGCTGCTCCTCCTGTTGCTAATTATCCTCTTGAAGAAGGCACCAGGTAATCTGCAAATTTGGGAATAACGCCACTTAACCTTCTTGAGCTCACTGCCAGCCAGCTTGAGAGTTTGGCAGGTAAACATGGGCTGCAAACTGGATTAGGGATAGCCCAAGTACATGGAGACTGAGCATCACAGGGATAAAGTCATGGTCATACTATCAACTGAGGTGGACCTGTAAAAGGGAGCAGAGTTAAGAGATACACTCTGCCATTGGTAGCTGGGTGCCATTTGTTGTGTAGAGGTCAGGGAGAAGGGTGACTCTACCATTGGGAAGACATAGAGAAAAGTTTCTGACATTATTTTGGATGCAGTTGAGCATACCTAAGACACCAGCTGGCATTGGGAGCATAATTCTCAGATATTGAGCCCATGAAGAACAACATCTTCAGCAGCTTAGGCCTATGCGCAAGGAGGGCAGAGAAGAGGGTCAGGAAGATAACAGTGAACACATGCTCAGCTTAGTGTACTGCCAAAGACTGACTTCCTACACACATCAGAGAACCTGAGGCACAGGAATCTGTGCATATCCAAAAGATTGTGTCTGAGTTTTGTGCACATATCGTAGATCAACTCACATCTCAGCCACTAGCTGTCAAATTTATTGTGCTGCCTTTGCTACTCGTTTCTTCTAAGAATTAACTGCAGACTTTGGTGGCTGTTTGCAACAGCAACGCATCTTGCAGGGCCACTGATTCTTCATTCACCTTTGTACAGCTGGGGCCCTCACAGGTGAAACGTGTTGTGTATCCATCATTGAATTTTCCTAAGTACAGGGTATTATCCATTTCATGCATGTGGCTACCGAAACACCAAGTGACTGGCCAGTAAGATTCATCAACTAAACCAACTAATTAGCTTCCACTCCCCCAAAGTGTAACTGGTTTGTGACAACAATAACAGCTGCATTTTCTGCTTCTCTATTTGATATCTGTCTCTCTGCCTGTCTCTGTCTTGTTTCCTGCATCTAGTCAATGGCTACCCTGGTATTTTCTCTATCTGTCTCACTTTTTACCTCAATCTTCTACCCATGAATTGGAGTGCAACCTGCCTCAGCCAAGTAGTACACTATCTCCACAAAAATCACAAGCTGTGACTACTTCTCACATCCATTCTTCCCACCCATGTCCTGGGGTAGGATGGGGAACTGAACTGGTCTCGATATCGTTTTCCCAATTTTGGAGGGAAAATCCTCCCAAGATATGGGATAGGTCAGATAGGCAAGAGGATTTGTACCCATCCATCATTGTTTCCTGTATGTGTCATGGTTGAATCTTATTTCTTGTAGCAAATAAATAGTTGAGGAATGGCTGTAGAGTGTAACAACATAGTAATATCCAAATGATCTTCATTTCACTGCTAAAACTGGTAAAAGTCAGAAATCACATTGCACCAGGTTATAGTCCAGCAGGTGCCGTGTGATTTCTGACTTTATCCACCCCAGTCCAACACCGGCACCTCCACATTAAAACTGAGAAAGGATTATTTCATGTATAAATGTGTCTAATGTTGAATAATAATAATAAATTTAATAAATATAAAGAAATAGCCATTCTAAAATTATGTGACTGGGATTAGTTGGTTTCTGCTTAATTTTCTGGTTACCTTACCTTAACATTTGTCATAGTTCAATATCAATATGTCCTTGTTTGTAACATGTTAATCTTTTCATTTTTCAAGCCATGTCAGTTCATTTTGATGAAAGAAGTGGGACTGTTCGCTGCAAGACCCCATGGGGTGAATGGTATCAGACCATGGAAGAAGTTTTCATTGATGTCCATGTTCCAGTTGGAACATCTGCAAAAGAAATCAAATGTAGTCTGGGGAGTAAAGATATAGCATTGTCTGTTAAGGGACTAGAGATATTGAAGGTAAAGATCCCTTTCCTGTCACCTTTCCTCCGCTTCAAATGAGTCTCACTAATTTTTTAAAAATCTAATCTGGATAATGCATTTCATTAAATGAATATAGTTGTATACTTGGTTTAAAGAACTTCATCTCCATTATTCTGATAATAGATCTGTCATCACAGCTTCCATTTCTATACATGAGATCATGTTGCCTGAGACACTGAACTGACAACCAGATATTTGAACAGGACTATTGAAACATTAAAGGAAGATTTTATAGCTTTTCTGAGGAGATTCTGAGATGCATGCTATGTATTTTCAGATGTTCGGTTCTTATTTCACAATACTGTATTTAAACAAAGTTTGACAGTTGACTGTCGATCAATATTCATGGGTTTGTTCTCTCTGGCAAGACCTGCACCAATTAGAGTCCACTTGCCAGTCAATCAACACTCTTCTCTCATGCAATATAAACATTGGTTTCCCCCTTTAATTGGTATTCTTGTGATTTGTCCTGATGAGTACAAGATGAAAATATTCAACAAAATGCCTTTTTAAAGGCAATACTCAGAACTATATTTTTCTCACCTCAATTGATGTTAGGAAGGAATATTTGTTGAAGAAAATTATCGTTGGAACTCTAGCATCGATCTGAGCTCTGATCTGTTTTAGACTTTTGGTAATTATGCAAGCTAACGATTGAATATGACATGCCCAGAGAAATCCAGAAATATTTTAAAGAAACTGTTAGTTTGAATAAAAATACGAGATACTGCGTTTGCATGCAAACTTTTTAGAGAGCAATTCTAATAGCAGGTGAAGGAAGAAGAAAGAACGAGCATTTATAGAATATTTCATGTTCTGTTATACGTCCCAAAATGTTTCATAGACTGCTTTTTGTTTTTAAAAAGAGTGTATCCCTGAAACGTGGCACCAGTGACAATGATGGAATCTCCCAATGTTATTCTGAAGTGCTAGATTGTTTTCAAGCCCTAATCTGGGCTTTGAACTTTCAAATTTTTGTATCAAACAAGATTGGTGGCATGAACTAACATAACGTTCATGTAACGTTAAAGACAAAGAACTTAGCGAGTTGAATTTTGATTTTTGTGCAGCAATCCAGATTGTTACTGGCAAATCTCACTTAATTTTCAGGGGAAGCTCTTTGATTCTACTGTCTCTGATGAAGGAACGTGGACACTAGGTAGGCAAAAATCTTAAATTAAAATGCTTCCTTCATAGGGGACGTGATGGCCTAGTGGTATTATTGCTGGACTGTTAATCCAGAGACCCAGATAATGTTCTGGGGACCTGGGTTTGAATCCCACCATGGCAGATGGTGGAATTTGAATTCAATAAAATATCTGGAATTAATACTCTAATGATGGCCATGAATCCATTGTTGATTGTTGGAAAAACCCATCTGGTTCACTAATGTCCTTCAGAGAAGGAAATCTGCTGCCCTCACCTGGTCTGGCCTACATGTGACTCCAGACCCACAGCAATGTCGTTGATTCTTAACTGCCCTCTGGGCAATTAGGGATGGGCAATAAATGCTGCCTAGCAGTAATGCCCTCATCTCATGAATGAATAAAGAAAAAAAAGCTATATACCTTATTTTTCTATTTTTTTAGTGTTTCATTGTAAGAATGTGTGCCATTCCTTTGCTCTATTTTCACACAGAAGAAATTGGGGAATTAAAAAGTGTATACTTTCAACTCTTATTTTGTTCCATCTCTAACAAGATTTTGCTTTCTGGCAGAGGATAAGAAACAAATCAGTATAGTTCTAAGGAAAAGTAACCGAGAAGCTGGGAACTGCTGGTCTTCATTGCTGGAAGGGCAGTATCGTGCTGACCCCCTGCTGCAAGATGAAATGCAGAAGAAACTTACACTAGAGAGGTTCCAAAGGGAGGTGAGTAATAGTACCATATGAAATAAAGTATACTACTCGGTTAATATCAGCGGATTGCAACTAGATCTGTTCTATTGTCCAAACATCTGAAAGAAATATGATAAGCAGAAGATGTAAAGCAAATATGTTAACAAGCCAGTAGAGAAATTACGTAATCTTCTGATGACCAGAAACTAATCTTCCCTCAAAGTATTTATGAGTATCTGCAGCTTAATAATCAGACAAACTTTTATAACTTATTTCACTAATCACACCCGTTATTACTGGCAATGTCCTTGAAATCTGTGCAGAATGGCTTAACTTTTGCAGTTTTTCTAGGAATTTACTGAAGAGTGGAAATAGTCCTTTTTGTGGGTGTAAAGTGCACACTTTGACTTGTCAGCATTGTAACTTGAATCTGCTGGGATGGCTGCAATGCTCTTGGTGGTCAATAGGCTACTGATAGTGATAACACTCAAAATAAAGAATGACCACTAGAGTGAAATACCAGAAACCGTCAATCTTATTTCCCTTTTATCCTCTTCTGAGTATCACCTCATCTAAGGTTAAAAAAACAATATTTTGTTGACAGGATAAAAAAAACTTGCTGATTTTGAGTTTAGAAGAATGAGAGGTGACTTTATTGAAACATCCAAGATTCTTAGAGGACTTGACCAGACAGATGTGGAAAGGCTGTTTTTTTTCTTCTGAGAGAGTCTACGACCAGAGACCAAAATCTCAGAAGAAAGGTTTGCCCATTTAAAGCAGAGATGAGTAGCAGTTTTTTCAGAGGTTAGTGAATCTGTGGCATTCTTTCCTGCAGAGGGCTGTCAAAGCTGTGTCATTAAGTATACTCAGGGCTAAGATAGATTTTCAACCAATAGGGAATCAAGGGGTGTGAGGAAAAGGCAGTAAAACGGAGCTGAGGATGTTCATGTCTGTGATCTCATTGAATGTTAGGGCAGATTCTTTGGGCTGAAAGGCCTACTTCTGCTGTTGCGTCAAAGACATTGAAATAAATCACTTGATAGCCCTGTCCAGCCAGGCAGTGTGTGCAGAAGGTGAAAGAGGGGAGAAGTTATAGTTGCCTTAACATTAGAGAAAAAAATATGAAGACCACGGGGAAGATGAGAGACAGGGATGTCCAACTGAAATTTGGAGTAGAATGTGGGCCTGTCACATGTTTGTGACTGAAGGTGTATTATTTCTGAAAAGTGAAATGGTTAAACTTTGATGCACAAACTAAGATACTTGGCAGATGATGTGTGAGATTGGAATCTTTGGTACTGCGGATGGGAAGTGAGATTCAAAGTAATGGTATTGCAGCAATGAAAGAGTTCACAGGCTGAAAAATTGCTTTACTTTTCAAAAATTGATGTTCCCTAATTGATACCCATCCTACCAAAGCTTTGAGGTGGCGCAGTAGCTGTGGTTAGCACTGTTGCCTACAGCGCCAAGGACCTAGGTTCGATTCCAGCCTGGGTTGACTGTGTGGAGTTTGCACATTCTGTATCTGTGTGGCTTTCCTCTGGATGCTTCCGTTTCCTCCCACAATCCAAAGATGTGGAGGTTAGGTGAATTGGCCATGCTAAATTGCCCACAGTATCCAGGGGTGTGCGAGCTAGGTGGATTAGCCATGGGAAATGCAGAGTTACAAGGATAGGGTAAGGAAGTGGTGTGAGTGGATGCTCTTCAAAGGATTGGTGTGGACTGGATCGGCAGAACAGCCTGCGTCCACACTGTATGGATTCTATGATTCTATGGAATACTTTAATCTTGCTAGAATTTCTTCGGCATGATAAACCGTGTGACAAAGTAGTATGATTCTAGATATCACACTGAAAACCATGTGGATTGTTCTCATTTGAATAATCATTAGACATTTAGAAACTTCATCACTCTAATGAACTTTCGCTTTCTTCTTGTACAGCATCCTGGCTTTGACTTTAGTGGAGCTGACATTTCTGGAAACTATGGTGGTGGCGGTCCAGATTTCTCAAATTTGGGAAAGTGAAGACAATTCAAAGACGCAATTGTCTAATACTAGACTTTGAGAAGAAAAGTGCAGAATACAAGCTGTTGAAAATGCCTCTGAAGAACTCAGTGACCCAAAACTTGCTGGGAAAATAAAGATGAATTGGCAGAGCACACTGTTATTAGTTGTAACCAACCCAGGAATTTGCATTTTTGAGGAAAAAATACACCGTGAGTTGTGAATCATTGCAAATTGCTGGACGATTTGAAATACACCACCATTGACCTTGCAAAACAGATCTTGCTGTTACTGACCCTGTGATTTTCGAGGAGTTGCTGAATTTACATCATTAATATAATGAAACAAGTCGGTTAAAGTTAGGACAGCTATTGCATATTGTAAGCACACTTTAAATGGAGTGACTAATAGTCTTGACATGCCACTCAACTTTGGAAACTCAGAAAGAGAACAATTAAAACTGGACTTTCTGGAGGCTTTTCAAGTGAATGTCTCATGCTTTTCCTTTGTGTTCTCATTCTCAGTTTAATCTTTATTCCTGATGTTGTTTCATGCCTTTAATTTGACTCAATTTCATCCTATTCTCTATCAATCTTTTTTTTTTTCTCTTCATTAGAACAGTAAGATCAACTGAATAGGTCTAACAAAAATGCCCACTTTTTTAAATAAAAGATATCCAAAAAAAAAAAATCCTCCTTACAAAAAGGAAACTTAAATTAATTCTGAATATTACCTGCAGTCTGGAGAAAGCAGTCTTTGTAGAGTGCAACACTTAAGAGAGTTCTCAAGTGTACTGCTGGACACTGCTTCTTCCCTGGCCTCAGATGAGAGACAGAGAGTGTGACCACCTTGCACTGTTCATATCTGTTTCGTTCACAATAAACTGTCAGTCCTGCAATTTACCACATTGCTGCTGTTGCATTGTTCTTGATTTTAGTCATTTCTAGCACTAAAATAACTGGAACCTAAAGCTGAGAAGGAAGTTACAACTTGGATGTTTGACACAAAATGCTTGCCACCAGCAAATTCTGGGCCACAGATATGCACGTTTTAAGATGCATATTTCTGCTTTAAAAATAAAATTCTGCATAACCATTCATATGTTGAAGGCAGTTCCTTGCTTATGGTATTTACAATTTTGAAGCACACACTGGAATTGAAAGTGAGACTCTCGTTAAACTTGCAGTGATAATTTGATTGTTTCATTTGGCTTCAATGCCTTAGATTCTTATTTCAGATCAATAGCAAAGTTTGAGTCATTGGAGAGTTTTATGAAAGTAAGATATATCTTTGGTAAGTGTATTAAAATTGGAATTGATTGTTCTTATATAATTAACTATTGAGTACAGGTGATGAAAAATGCAGTGATGCAGAGTTAAACATATTGGCTTTTCATCTAGGGTTCCAAATTTGAGTCCAACCCAGACTAATAGACTGAAAACCTTTTCTGTCCATTGGCTTCAGGTTGTCTATGTCAAACAAGTCCGGAAGTCTACAATTTAATTTGCAAACAACGTAAGTCCATAGTAATAGATTTTTTAAAAAAATCGTTTGTGGATGTGAGTCATTCATAAGGCCAATCTTTCATTGTTCGTACTGAATTACCTTTGATAATCTTATGGAGCTCATAGAAGTGCTGGTGTTTGAAAATATTTAAAACTCACTACTCAAGGCTGTTTGGCTCAGTAAGCACAACATGCTGCCCTGCCCTGCACAGCACAGATGGCATTACAGTCTTCACTGTAGGGCATTGTTACAACGTTTAAAAGACATTTGGACAAGTACATGAATAGACAAGCAGATGGGACTAATTTGACCGAAGGGTATGTTTCCAAGTCGTATGACTTTATGGCACAGGGAGCCCGAAGCGCCGCATTGCACGGCATATGAAGTCCCAGGCGCCACGCTGTACGGCAATCGTTTCCGCCAGCCTTTGCCGTACGGTGACGTTTAGAGGATGTGACGCATTTCACCGGAAGCCAGGTGCCGGCGAGGAGGAGGGACGGCGGCGAAATGTCGGATCTGTTCGTGAAACCCGGTGAGAACCGAGAGGGAGGCAAGGGGTTTCATGTGGGAAACGGCAGTCAGTTCAAAGTAACCCTTCCCTCAGAAGGGTATGAAGGGAGGAGGGTGGTAGAGCTGTCTGGGGAAACAGGACTCGGATTGATACCCTGGTTTACGTGGCACTCAGGCTGGAGTCAGCAGTGGGCGGATCATTTTGATCACGTCAGCACATTGAAACCTGCTTTACAGAATAAGCAGCACTTTGACCCTATTGTAAAGGTGATTAATACATTTAATGGAAGGAAAATTCTATTCCCCTCGCTGCTAAACATGCCATGTTTAAAGTGCAAAATGCTGGAGAGGAAATAGTCTTGGTCTTTCCTTGAAATGACACTTCCTGGTCAGAAGAGATGATGCTGATTGTCTTTTGCATCAGACACGTTTTATGTGGCGGTCAGTCACGTTCACAGTACAGAATTGCCACTTCTCTGGTACATATTTACATAACAGTTTAAAAGGTGTGTCAGATGGATACATTGAAAGGGAAGCTAGGTAAACGCGTAACAGAGACAGGAATGTCAGGGTGTGGTACACTAACGTCAACATAAACCACTTTGGCTAAACGCTGTTGCTGTGTTAAAGTTCTCTGACTCAAAGTTTGCAATGGAAAGGTTGACAGGGGTCTAATAATGTTTCTGTAGCTTTTGAGCAGAGTAAGATGAACTTTACTTGATACTGTCATGTGACCATTGGAGAAATGCATTCCAATAATCACTGATATTCTTACTTTGAAATACATAAGCTGGGACGAAATTGATTTGATCATTTGTCTTTTAAAAAAAGAAATGTTCCACCACTTGATTCGGGTTTATGTGCCCTTGCAATGAGAGTCATGTTACAGGATGAGTGTTTCTTACTTGAGGATTTGACATCAAGTGCGTTGCAACAGGTGAAAAATGTTTTCTAGAAATTAAGAGAGTGATTTAAAGATAATAGTAAATAACTTGAGTGTTGCTATGATGGAGTTCTTTTATCTTGGAAGTAGTAGAGTAAATGAAAGTTGTCCAAGTATTCTGCTTGCTCGTTGGTAGGAGCTGTCAATATCTGTCCTATTAACCACAACTGATAATTACTTCAAGCTACACTCATTTGTGGTTTAAAATTTTAAAAAAAATTGTTTCCCTTGCTTGTTAAGGAAATGCTAATAAACAGTTGGCTTTGGCGAATAATTGTAATTGATCATTGCTTATGGAGAAATTCAGTTTCTTATGAAAAGAAATATTTGGAAAGATATTCAAAGCATTCTCTATATACTACATACATTTCAGGCTTGAAGTGTTTGGGATGTTTAATTTTGGTATCATCACTTATGTGGAATTACTTGAGCATATTTTTTTTTAAAATCAGGAAATCAGGAACGAGGCTGGAATGATCCTCCCCAGTTTTCATATGGTTTGCAGACACAAGCACAGATAGGTCCCAGGAAACATTTTCTCACTAAGAGGGTACCGGCACCTCAGCTGGATAAATCAAAAGGTGAGCATTAATTACCACATTACGCATTCAACCAAAGGCAGAATATCAGTTTGGTATTGGTAATCATAAATATTTGAATTATAGTTACATCAGAATTGTGAGTGTCAGTTTCTTTGTGATCAAACTTCCCTTTTTGAGACTCTATCTGCATACCTATTGACAAAATGAGGAGCAAGCAAGAACTGCTGTTTACTCAAATCTGCACCTCCTATTTCATTGGGGCTGCCCAATAATACGGCAATGTTAAAATACTTCTAACGCTTACGCGCTCGTGTTTTTAAATCTCATTTTCTAATGTGAATTTCCTGAAGTGTTTTACTGTTTGTTCTAAGGAGATGGGCAGGCAACCCCTCTGCAGGGTGATCCCCTGGCTGTCATTAGGACTTCTACAGTAGTAAACTGGATCATTTCCTCAATGTCCTATTCTCCCTCTCCTGAGACCTGCCATCTGTGCTTTGCTCTGCATTTCCTCCGCACTTCCTCCTAACCACAAATGGGAATTGACCACATGGGAAAATGAGCTTGGGAAGCTACCTCCTACCATTCTGCCCATGATGTAGATATCTGGCAAAACGTTAATTTTGCAGTATTGATTTAATTCTGAAATTACTCCATTCCTTTCTTAAAATCTAGCACAAAATGTTATTCTTCTGTGAAGCACTATCAATTGCATTTACTGCCAGTTGCATAGAGAGAGATTTTTTTCCAATGGCTTGATTCTACCAAGATGTTATGTATTTTCTCCTGTAGATTATAGACTAGCTGGAATTCCGTCTGCAATTATACCATCATGTCCTTCTGTAACCTGTGAGAAGAAGCCACTGCCACCACCTCCGAAGCAGTCTAGTTTATCGAATAATTGTAAGCCAGTGCAAAACACTACAGTCATGTCTGATTATGAAGTAAATTTGGAAGATGTTTTAACTCCATTAAATAAAACACTGGAGACTTGTAGGAAACATATAAAGGTAAGTGGAGAATGAATGAAATTGTTTCAGAAATTAAGAAATTGCTTCAGGCTTAAGAAATCTCATCTGAGTACAAGAACACACAAGAACTAGGAGCAGGAGTAGGCCGTCTGGCCTTTCGAGCCTGCTCCACCATTCAATAAGATCATGGCTGATCCTTTCGTGGACTCAGATCCACTTACCCGCGTTCTCACTGTATCCCTTAATTCCTTTAATGTTCAAAAAAAAATCTACCTTTTTTTAAAAAGCGTTTACTGAAGTAGCGTCAACTACTTCACTGGGCAAGGAATTCCATAGATTAACAACCCTCTGGGTGAAGAAATTCCTCCTCAGTTCAGTCCTAAATCTGCTCCCTCTAATCTTGAGGCTATGCCCTCTTGTCCTAGCTTCACCTGCTAGTGGAAACATCCTCTCTACTTCTATCTTATCTATTCCCTTCATAATTTTATATGTTTCTATAAGATCCCCCCTCAATCTTCTGAATTCCAATGAATATAATCCCAATCTACTCAGTCTCTCCTCATAAGCCAACCCCCTCAACTCCGGAATCAACCTAGTGAACCTCCTTTGCACCCCCTCCAGTGCCAGTACATCCTTTCTCAAGTAAGGAGACCAAAACTACACACAGTACTCTAGGTGTGGCCTCACCAGCACCTTGTACAGCTGCAACATAACCTCTCTGCTTTTAATTTCAATCCCTTTAGCAATGAAGGACAAAATTCCATTTGCCTTCCTAATTACTTGTTGTACCTGCAGACCTACCTTCTGTGATTCATGCACAAGGACACCCAGGTCCCTCTGCATAGCAGCATGCTGCAACTTTTTACCATTCAAGTAATAATTCTTTTTACTATTACTCCTACCAAAATGTATGACTTCAGACCTTTGCCCACTCACTCAATGTATCTATGTTCCTCTGCAAAGTTTCACAGTCCTCTGCACACTTTGCTTTGCCACTCATCTTAGTGTCATCTGCAAACTTTGACACCCTACATGTGGTCCCCAGCTCCAAGTCATCTATATAAGTTGTAAATAATTGCGGTCCCAACACCGATCCCTGAGGCACACCACTAGTCACTGATTGCCAGCTAGAATAGCACTCATTTATCCCCACTCTTTGCTTCCTGTTAGTCAACCAATCCTCTATCCATGCTAATACTTTACCCTTAATGCCATGCATCCTTATCTTATGCAGTAGCCTCTTGTGCGGCACCTTGTCAAAGGCCTTTTGGAAGTCTAGGTAGACCACATCCACTGGGTGCCCATTGTCCACCTCGCTCGTAATGTCTTCATAGAATTCCAAAAGATTTGTCAAGCATGACCTGCCCTTCATGAACCCATGCTGCGTCTGCCCAACGGGACAATTTCTATCAAGATGCCTTGCTATTTCTTCCTTGATAATAGACTCAAGCATCTTCCCCAGTACAGAGGTTAAGCTGACTGGTCTATAATTCCCCATCTTTTGTCTACTTCCCTTTTTAAACAGTGGCGTCACATTTGCTGTTTTCCAATCTGCTGGGACTGCCCCAGAGTCCAGCGAATTTTGGAAAGTTACCGCCAGCGCACCTGCTATTTCTCCCGCCATCTCTTTTAGTACCCTGGGATGCATTCCATCAGGGCCAGGAGACTTATCAATCCTTAGCTCCATTAGCTTGCCCAACACTACCTCTTCCGTAATAATGATTGTTTCCAGGTCCTCACCTACCTTCGTCTCTTTATCTATTACTGGCATGTTATTAGTGTCCTCCACTGTGAAGACCAATACAATATACCTGTTCAATGCCTCGGCCATTTCATCATATCCCATAACTAAATTCCCCTTCTCATGCTCTAAAGGGCCAACGTTTACTTTAGCCACTCTTTTTCGTTTTATATATTTATAGAAACTTTTCCTATCTGTCTTTATATTCTGTGCTAGTTTTTTCTCATGTTCTATCTTACTTTTCCTTATAGCTCTTTTTGTGGCTTTCTGTTGCCCTTTAAAGTTTTCCCAATCTTCTAGTTTCATGCTGTTTTTGGCCACTTTGTATGCCTTCTCTTTCAATTTGATAGCCTCCCTTATTTCTTTAGACACCCATGGCAGATTACCCCTTTTCTTAGTCCTTCCTTTTCATTGGAATAGGTTATAAAAATACTACAGATGCAATGCTCAATGACGAGAAGTGATCAACATAACACTATATAAATATGCACTTGCTCAAATCAGTCACCTATGCAACGTTAAACACTTAGCACAACTAAACAATTATGTACTATAATAGAGGTAAAATGTTGATTCAGGTAACTATTTAATTGCAATGGAGTTTTGTGCCTCCGAAACACTGAACGTTAGTCAAGAAGTTCTTCATAAAATGAGAAGATCACCCCAGCATTTCCACACTCCTCACAGCACTTCATCGTAGAGTTAACTTGACAGTTGTGTAAGCTTGGAGGAACAATGTTGCATACACATTCCCAGAGTATCGAATATCCGTGCACACTAGCAAAGTTGATGTATGAAAAAGATGTTATAAATATATATATCGGGTATTAGAATCTCAAATATTGAAAACAATAAACCCAAATTTTGTACTTTTGTAGAAAAAGATTACATATTTGTAAAATCTCATTCCTCTCTTGGAAACATTCCAAAGGTAATTCACACAAAGCAATTATTTGGTATACCATTGTTAAATTTGCACGTTGACACTTGGGCCCTGCAAACCACAGTGAGATGGATGCCGCGTTTGTAGAATCGTAGAATCCCGACAGTGTGGAAAGAGGCCATTTGGCCCATTGAGTCCATAATGACCCTCCAGATTATCCCACCCAGACCCATAACTCCGCTTTACCACATTCTGCCCATCCCTGGACAATTGAGCATGGCCAATCCACCTAACCTTACATCTTTGGACTGTACAAGGAAACTGGAGCACCCAGTGGAAACCCAGACAGACATGGGGAGAATGTGGAAACTCCGCACATAATTACTCAAGACTGGAATTGAACACGGGTCCCTGGCGCTGTGAGGCAACAGTGCTAACCATTGTGCCACCATGTCACGCAGAACCAAGTAGATTTATTTTTTAACACTATGGAGCTGGAGGAACACAGCGGGCCAGGCAGCATCAGGGGAGCAAGAAAGCTGACATTTTGGGTCGGGGCCCTTCTTCAGAAATGGGGGAGGGGGAAGGGAGCTCTGAAATAAATAGAGAGAGGAGGGGTGGGGATGGGGAAGGTAGGTGGGATGGTGATAGGTGAGTGCAGATAGGCAGCAGTGGGGATTGGTCAGTTAGGTGGGATGGGAGATGGGCAGGCCAAGGAGGTGGGGATGAGAGGAAGGGTTGGTCATGTGATGAGGCCAGGGGTGCGGAGATTTTGAAGCCAGTAAAGTCCACGTTGAGACCATTGAAACCCTTCCTATTCATATACCCATCCAGATGCCCAAAGGTGTTATAATTGTACCAGCCTCCACCACTTCCTCCGGCAGTTCATTCCATATATGCACCACCCTCTGCATGAAAATCTTGTCCCTTAGGACCCTTTTACATCTTTCCGCCCCTCACCTTAAACCAATGCCCTCTAGTTTTGGACTCCCCTCACTTCAGGGAAAAATCCTTGTGTCTTCACCGTATTCATACTCCTCATGATTTTATAAACTTTTCCAAGGTCACCCCCTCAGCCTCTGATGATCTGGAGAAGATAGCCCAAGTCTATTCAGCCTCTCCCTATAGCTTAAACTCTCCAATCCTGGCAAAATCCTTATAAATCTTTTCTGAAACCTTAACTTTCATAATATCCTTCCTATAGCAGGGAGACCAGAAATACATGCAGTATTCCAAAGTGGCCTAACCAATGTCCTGTACAGCTACAACATGACCTTCCAACTCCTATACTCAATGCACTGACTAATAAAGGCAAGCATACCAAACTCTGTCTTCACTATCAAATCTACCTGTGACTGCACTTTCAAGGAACTGTGAACATGCAATCCAAGGTCTCTTTGTTCAGCAACACTCCCCAGAACCTTACCATTAAGTGTATAAGTCCTGCCCTGATTTGTCTTTCCAAAATGCAGCACCTCACATTTATCGAAATTAAACTCCATCTGTCACTCCTCGGCCCATTGGCCCATCTGATCGAGAGCCTGTTGTACTCTGAGGTAGCCTTCCTCGCTGTCTACTACACTTCCAATTTTGGTGTCATCTGCAAATTTACTAACCATACTTCTTATGTTCACATCCAAATCATTCATATTAATGACAAAAAGCAGTGAGCCCAGCACTGATACTTGTGGCACACCACTGGTCACAGGCCTCCAGTCTGAAAAGCAATCCTCCTCCACCACCAGCACCCTCTGTCTTCTACCTTCGAGCCAGTTCTTAATCCAAATAGCTAGTTCTCTCTCTATTTCATGTGAGCTAACTTTGCTAATCAGTTTACCATGATGAACCTTGTTGAACGCCTTACTGAAGTCCATATAGATCACCTCCACCGCTCTGCCCTCGTCAATCCTCTTTATGATTGATTGATTAAGTTTTTTTGAAGAAGTAACAATGAGTCAGTGATCACAGCTCTTCATATCCTAAATGTTTAAATTTAGTCTGTTGCAAAAGCTATTGTCAATGGATTGACTGATCATCTGTAGGAATTAGAGTAGTGCAGATGGATATTAACAAATTAACTGGTAATATAATGGTGGAAACAGTTTTTCACAAGTATGTCAAATTTTTATTTTAAATCAATATTTTGATGTTCAGTGTCAAGCAGCATGAAGAATATTGCATCATTTTGAATACTGCAAAAGTTTCAACATTCAGTGGCAGTAACAGCTAATAATTGAATTTCTTTTCAAATTTTGTATGTAGAAGCAAGTTTGTGATGATATTGCCAGAAGGCTACTAATGCTTCAGGACATGTGGCAATCAGGAAGGCTTTCTGTATCAGTCCAGAATAGGATGCATCTGCTCACGCAAGGTAATTTTTCATGGCATCCTATGCAAAGTTCAGGTTCTTGTAGGGATGCCAGAATGGAATATGCTGAGAGATTTCATAAAATGCTATACAAATGTAAGTTGCGCTTGTAAAGGCTTCAAAGTCTCAATGAAAAGTATGAGAGTGTAACTGTGAAAGCAGTGGGTATAAGGACAAACTTGTAATTTTCTAACTAGAACGTGACACGAGCAGAAGTAGATCTTGCCCCACCATACAGTGCAGTTATGACCTGCCTTCCAATTCAAATTCACTTTGCTAACAGATGCCATCTACTTTGGTTCCCCGAGAGATCAAAGATATGTCTACCTCATCCTTAAATATATTCAATGGTGGAGCCTGTACACACTTCTGTGTAGATAATTCCAAAAACACTCAACCTGAAGTGTGAACAGTAAAGAAATTTCTTCTCATCTCAGTTCAAATGATCTGTTAATAAAGGCACTGATCAGAGAACAGATGCTTTATTCCCCACTAAAGAAGGTAAAATCAGTAAGTAATTAATTCAGCCCTAGTTCTATTAATTTCTGAGCAACTGAAATAGAATTAATGTTTCAGATTGATGGAATTTCTTCAGAACTGGGCTGAGTTAGAAATAGAATAGGTGTTAAGTAGGGCAAATGTGGGGGATGGTAGCAAAATATTTGTTGGAATTTCGAAATGTATTTGTCAAGAAAAGCCATTGTAAAATGAGAGCCCTTTACAAAATCTCTAATGATGAAAATGCTTATTTTAGTCAACGTTTTTAGATTAAGTCCTCCATCATGTAACACAGAAACATCTGCCATATAACTCAAGGGGCATTCATAGTCATTGATCCTGGCAGTGGAATGCAAGCAATTCTGTCTATTTTATGCATTACCTTTTATTGCTCACTTGTTCTTTTCGCTTCACACTGACATCTAGTTCCTCTTCACCTATACCGTTCTTTGAACCACCAAGAGGTGGTATGTGCAACATTCTTCCATCTCCTTTCTCTGTTGTCTTCAGCATAACTGTGTACTGTTGTAAGTAGCATTTGGTTAATGACACATTTAAGTTCTAAGAACATGTTGTGTATCTTTATTTGTTGACAGAAATGGAGCACCATAATTGGGATTCTGCCGATGAAATCCACAGATCTTTGATGGTTGACCATGTGAATGAAGTGGGACAATGGATGGTTGGAGTGAAACGCCTCATTGCTGAAACCAAAAATCTACCATCTGACTTTACTGACTGTGCAAATTACAATTGAGTCACAGAGAACTGAGGCGCTATGTTCAAAATGTTGATGATGGTCCAGTGAGAGTACTGTTCTTCAGTGAAAATGCAGCAATGGATCAAAATTAGAAAATATTGACAGAAGGAATAACAATAACACCTGTTAATGATTCCTGTATTCAGCAGGAAAGAAAGCATGTATTCAGGCTGTACTCTATTTTAATACTGTTCAAGAGTTTACAAAAGCACTTTAGCCTTAAAGAAATGGACTGAGCTTCTCAATGACTTGATCATTCTTAAGCTGCTGCAATTGTCAAATCTTTTCTGTGTGCTCTGTTTGGAAGGCAAGTGTCAGATGTTGACTATATAAGTTTCCTCTGCCACAGGGAATACAGTGAAGCCATTGCTACAAGCACGTAGGGCTCTTCCAGAGAAGAGTTTCGTCTTTTACTTGGCTTGTCTTGCTGACATCTGTAGAAATGAGCTTTCGATTTAATTTTGCTCCAAGTAATTCAGAACTTGTGGCTTTCCTGCTGCATTTTATATTTTTAAAATGATTATTAAAGATTCAAGGTGGAGAGTCATCTTGAAAATTTTGGGTTGCGCTGTGTGTTTAAAGTGTTTCGCTTTATAGGAGAAAACCTTTTTCTTTCATTCACATGCATCTGTGTATGCTATTTTCCTTGTTTGGAAGGTGTGATTGGATGTGATGAGGATAGCTGCATGATTGGCCTAACCAGAGTTCCATTAAGGTGAAGGTTGTTTTCCTTCCCTTTTCCTAATCAAACTTAGATTTGGATGTACTGTGGAAAAGATAGGAGCAAAATATTTGCCCTCTTTTTCTGAAAAATCTGTCCAGATATTTTCTTACAATTAATTGTAACTGTAAAACTGCATTTTTTAACCTTTTAATTGTTTTCATAATTACTCAATTTATGAAGTCACTTGTAATGTAGGATGTTGATACTTTCATAGCCAATTTCCCACCATTCCTGGCCTTGGATGTAGAAGGAGGACTTGTCTCCTTGCTCTCCATCCCTGACCAAGAATAATGTCACTGCCTTTCAAGTGTCCTGAATTGCCTTTTCAGTTAATAAAAGAAGAATGGTGGTTATTATTTTCTTAGGCTTCCTACAAAAGAGAGGCTTTGCAAAATGCAATCAGAATCCTCATCACAATTAAGTGCTCTTTGAATTTTTGTTCATATCATTGTGATTATGTTTCTAATTTTGCCAGATAGCAAAAGAACAAAATGGGTGTGGATTGAATGTATTAGCGAATGTGCTGTATCTGGGTATCCTGGATACATGGATAGGGAAAGGGAAAGAGAGCTGGCAATAAGAGTAAGTCTATCTTCATTTTCTACTGAAATTGTGAATGTAATATTGAGTGTATTTTAACACGTCAAAGGGGTATTTCTTTCATTTTGTTCTTACGTGAAGTTGTGGAAAGCAAATCTCTGCAGGTCCACACAAACATTTATGGTACACTGTTAGTCTGCAATTCCATCAGAAGTCTGACTCTGTATAGAAAGGATGAAGAAAACATGGCCTTATTGCAGTCATTAACTACAGATCTACATCCAGGTGAGATTGCTGAACAGTGATTAGTTTTAAAGAAATGCAATGGATTCTGGCCTTTGGACTTCTTTAAAGCATTTTTTAATGATTTAGATCAGCATAAAAGCTGTGCTCATGCATGTCCGTTATTGAGAGATTCTATTGAGCTTAAGTGACCAATGGAGAATCCTACTTAGTTTAAATTGATCACTTTTTAGGATTTGATTCAGTTTAGTATGTTTTTGTCAGATTGAATTTAAACATTGAACAAAATCAATTAATAAAATTTATTGTTAACCCTGGAACATTTGAAATTTCAAGAATTATGTTTTATCCAGTGACCATAATACATTGTAAGAATTTTGTCATCTTGATTACTTTTCAGCAGCAATTGTGACCTGATCTGTTGAGCCTTGCTCATATCCAGTGCCATTCATTTTCATTTACACTTCTAACTTGAGGCATTGTGTTTGTTTCTGCTGGGAGAAAAACTAGCAGCTGCACATGTTTAGATTTTTTTTTTCTGTAGTTTGCCACTTTTGCTGCTGACGTCTCACTTTTTTGTGAGGAAGGGTCACCGGACCCGAAATGTTAACTCCGATTTCACTTCACAGATGCTGCCAGACCTGCTGAGCTTTTCCAACAATTTCTGGCTTTTGTTTCTGGTTTACAGCATCTGCAGTCCTTTTGGTTTTTATCTCCCTTTTCTTTCGCTGGATGTTGATGGTTAAACGTCATAGAATGCATCCCCATCCAGAAATGAATGCTGTCAGTGGGTCATGGTTAGGTTTTAGATTAAATTAAGCAGCAAACTTTCCCATAGAAAGCTGTGTGTCGTGTTTTTTTAAGGGGGGAGGGGCGAGTGCTGGGCATCTGAGGCATGTTGGGCTGTGTGATCTCACTTTATGAAGAAGTACTTGGTTGATGCTCAGCCTTCCTGAGGCACAAAAGTCTGTGCAATGAAAGAGACGCCTGAAGGAGACTCCTGCCTCGATTATAGTACATCATTGGCCAGTTGATGTTGAATGGGAAGTCTGGTGCAAGACAAAAGCCCATACAGGGAGGGAAGGGGGGTGTGGTTAAAGAAGGGACTGGGAACCTTTCTTCCGAGTTGCAGCGGGTGGGCCGGACTGTTTCGTGCGTTGGGACGGTGGGGGGACAGCCGGATGTATATTTTAGATGCTGCTGCTGCTGGTGCGGGGAGATGAACAGTTTGATGTCGCGGTTTAACTCGCTGTTGGCCTTCACAGTGATGGTGATGGCGGCGCTGACCTTCCTGGTGTTCCTGAGTACAGTATTCCAGCAATCCCGGGTACCAGTCAGCATCCGTGTGAGCGGCATCTCTCTGTGAGTGTGCTACCCAGGAACCAGGGGCCGCTGGCTTAGCTCCTCACCCACACGCCATTACCCGGGAGGGGTGGGGATGTGTGGACTCATCTCCTCTGGACCACAGTGCAAACCGGGCCGTGGACCTTACCTTTGTACCATTTTCATCCCGGTCACAATTGTGGGCAAAGGCTGAAGGGCTTTTCTTCCTTTCAGAATGAAAGCTGGCCTAAAACAGGCAGCTTTTCAGACTTAGAGTTGTACAGCACGAAAACAGACCTTTTGGTCCAACTCGTCCATGTGGATCAGATATCCTAAATTAATGTAGTCCCATTTGGCCCATAACCCTCTTAAACCCTTTGCAGATGTCTTTTCAATGTTGTAATTGTACCAGCCTCTACCACTTCCTCTGGCAGCTCACTCCATACACGCACCACCCTCTGCGTGACAAAGTTGCCCCTCAGGTTCCTTTTTTTTAATCTGTCCCCTCTCACCTTAAACCTATGCCCTCCTCTACCCTGGGCAAAAGGCCTTGGCTATTCACCCTATTGATGCTCCTCACCATTTTATAAACCTCTATCAGGTCATGCCACAGCCTTTGACACTCAAGGAAAAAAGGCCCAGCCTATTCAGCCTCACCCTATAGTTCAAACCCTCTAATCCTACTTGGAACCATTCCTGTAAATCACTTCTGACCCCTCTCTCTCCAATGTATTCACATCCTTCCTGAAATGTGGTGTCCACAACAATAGACAATATTCCAGCTGAGTTCTAATAAGGATCCTCTACAAATGTGCTTCTAAGACTTTGCTGATTTACATTTACAAAGCATTAGAATTCTTTTACAGCACAGAGACAGGCTATTCCATTGAGACGAACAGATTCAACACAAAATAATTTTTTTTTGTATCCCCTCTGCATATCTCTCTATTCCCTCACACGTTTCTCTTGCTTCCCCCGAACACACACTATTTGTCTCGACCACTCTATTTAAGAGCGAGTTCCACGTCCAAACCACCTGTCTGAGTAAAGAGGTTTCTTCTGTGTTTCTCATTGGATTTATTTATGAGTATCTCATGTTTATGACCTCATCCACAAGTGGAAAAAACTTCTATCTAATATATCAATCTCCAACAAAACCTTGAAGAGCTCTCTCAGGACTCCTTCAGTTAGCTCCTTTCTGGAAAATACAGCGTCAGTCTGTTCTGTTTTTCCTGTGACGGTCTCAGAATAGTTACAAAACAGAACGAGGCCATTTAGTTCTAAATCTGTGCTGACCCACTCGAGCAACTCCATAAGACCATAAGATACAGAAACTGAATTAGGCCATTTGGCCAATCATGTCTGATATGTTCCCCACCCTATTCTTCTGTCTGCTCCCCAAAACCCTTATTCCCCTTAATAATCAAGAGCCTATCTATCTCTTTCTTAAAGACTCTCAATGACTTCACCTCCACAACCATCTGCGGCAATGAGTTCCACAGATTCGCCACCGTCTGGCTGAAGAAATTCTTCCTCATCTCCGTTCTAAAGCCCTTTGGTCCTAGTATTTCCTACATGGGAAATATCTTCTCTACATTCACTGTATCCAGGCCTCTTAGTATTCTGCAAGTTTCAATCAGACACTGTTCCCCCCATCCCATCCTTCTAAACTGCATCAAGTACAGACCTCGAGTACGCAACCTCTCCTCATTTGACAAGCCCTTCATCCCGGGATTATTCTTGTAAACCTACTCTGGAACCCTTTTAATTCCAGCACATCCTTCCTTAGAAACGGGGCCCAAAACTGCTCTCAGTATTTCAAATGCAGTCTGACCAGAGCCTTATACAGCCTCAGCAGTACATCTCTGCTCTTGTGTTCTAGTCCTCTTGAAATGAATGCTAACATTACATTGGCTTTCCAAAATGCAAACTGAACCTGCCTGTGAACCTTAAGTGAATCCTGAACTTGGACTCCCAAGTCCCTTTATGCTTCAGATTTCTGAACTCCCTAATTGTCCTGCAATTTCTTTCTCTCTCATTCCCTTTTAGAAGCCTCAGTTGACCCCAGGCTCCACCACACTCCCACGCACTACATTTAGGATCCCAACTGCTCGCTGGATAACAAGTTTTTTATCCTTACCTTTGATTCTTTTGTCATTCACCTTAAACTGATATCCTCTGCTTCTCAACCCTTCCATCAATGGGAATCATTTCTCTCTATTTTATCCAGGCCCTGCAGGATTTTCAGCTCATTGTTTGATCAGATTTCCCCTTGAAGGAGGACAGTTCCATCTTCCTCAGTCAACCAGTACAAATTAAGTGGATGCTTTATAATTTGAATTACTTAGCATCAGGGCAGGTGTCTCATCCACATAACGGTGGAGCAGGGACCTGATAGCGAAGTTGTACAGCATGGAAACAGACACTTTGGTTCAACTTGTCCATGCTGACCAGATATCCTATATAAATCTAGTCCCGTTTGCCCGCATTTGACCCCTATCCCTCTAAACCCTTCCTATTCATATACCCATTCAGATGCCTTTCAAATGTTGTAATCATACTAGCTTTCACCACTTCCTCTGGCAGCTCATTCCATACATGCACCACTCTCTGCCTGAAAAACGTTGCCCCTTAGGTCCCTTTTATATCTCTATTTCCCCTGTCAACTTAAACTTATGCCCTCTAGTTTTGCACTCCCCCAAACCCGGGGAAAAGACCTTGCCTTTTTACCCTATCCATGCACCTCATGATTTTATAAGCCTCTATAAAGTTACCCCTCAGCTTCTGACGCTCCAGGGAAGATAGCCCCAGCCTGTTCAACCTCTCCCTATAGCTCAAGCCCTCCTAAATAGATTAGGTGGATAGAAGATGTTTCTATTTGTGCAGAGTCCAAACCCAGAACCCACAAATACATCTTCAATAATTAACTCAGGAGTAGTACCAAAAAATGGTAGACTAAATACTTGCTACTGCAAGAAATAAGACCATAAGGCATAGGAGTAGAAGTAGAGCAGTCAGATCATTGAGTCTAAAGTGCTGTTCAATGAGATTGAGGCTGACCTGATAATCCTCAACTCCAATTTCCTGTCTTTTCCCCATAACCTGTTATTCTCTTGCTGATTAATAACCTATCTCAGCCTTGAATGGACTCAATGACCCAGCCTTTACAGCCTTCTGCGGTAAAGAATTCCACAGATTCAGTACCCTCTCAAAGATGAAATTCATTCTCCTTTCTATTAAATGGGCGACACCTTACTCTGAGATTATACCTTTTGGACCTAGACTTTCCCAGAAGGGGAAACGACATTGCCACAACTACCCTGTCAATCCCCCTAAAAATTGTGAATCTTTCAGTAAGGTCGCCTCTCATTTTTCAAATCCTGATGAGTACAGGCTCAGTTCACTTAACCTCGCAAGACGGTCCCTCCACATCTGGGGGCAAACTACTGAAGCTTCTCTGGATTGCCTTCAGTACCAGTTTGTTTTTAATCAAAATTGATTTCTTTATTAAATCAAAAGATGAGGCAAGGATGAACATCTTGATGAATGTGTTTCCAAAGCTGTTAGCTGTGTTGCGAGTGGGGACTAGGTGTCAATCCATCATTTTGCACAAATTTCAGAACTCACCCAGACAAAACTTCAACCATTAGCAATCTGCCAGAAGTTACTGCTGAAACATCCAATGCCAGTATATCTTTCCTTAGATAAGGGGAACAGAACTGTTCACAGTATTCCAGCTGTGATCTAATTAATGTACTGCATAGTTTTAGCGAGGCTTCCCTAGTTTTATAGAGATAGCGAGAGCTGCAAAAGCTGGAGTCAGCGTCGATACAGTGCTGAGCTGGAGGACCACAGGAGGTCAGGCAGCATCAAACGAGCAGGAAGGCCAACATATCAGGTTTACACCCTTCATCAGCCTAGTCCTGATGAAGGGTGTAAACCTGAAACGTTGACCTTACTGCTGCTCTGATGCTGCCTGACCCCTGTGTTTCCCTCA